CTTAACATTAAATCAACATTTTTCTCATTCCACTTAAGATCAGCACATTTAACAGTTCTATTCAAGGCACTTACGAGCATCTTTTACCAACTAGTGAACCAAAACAAAAGTATTCGCTACTTCCCTTGCCTATAATTCCTAAGCATTCCTAGACATATTCAGTAAACCTTCATCAATTTATTAATCAACCTTTATCATCCGCCTCATTATGAGGGTTATCTGTGCAACATGATATTCCTACTATAACACATTTTGCACTTTAAACATAATCTGTTTGTTTTGCAGTGCAGGTAACTGTAAACCTTGTAGCTTCCCTTTCGAAAGGGAACTCCACGCTGCGTCCTCTAGAGGCCTTCAGCGTGACCGGTGTCTGAAGCATGAATGAAAAACCGACAATGAACTTGACATTGGCAGGCGGCAGCCTATGACGTAAACAATAAAGCGAGTGCGGGTATAAAAGCGCACCTGCGGAAAACGTCATCCTCTTCTTTGTCTTCAAGCCTTGTGTACGGAAGCACATGCGTTTGACTCACGAGGGATAAGGATGCGCTCACTGTTTGCATTCGCGGAACTACTAGAGCAGAGGTCTGTACTCGAGTGTTTGTCAGCGTTTGCACGAGCGTGTTCGCCTCTCGAGGGAGTTGAACAAGCTTAATGCGATGCATTCGCGGCGGTTTCTGTTCTTGCCTGATTCTTGAGAGAATTTAATGTTTGAACAGAGTGTGTTTGGCTCTCGACGGAGATTAGCCACGCTGCGAGATGTGATCGCGTTGAGAATGCCTGTATGCCTGATTCTCTTTGAGAATTGAGCGCCTCTCACCCGCGTTTCGGGTCTCGCGGCTGCGGAGGCAGTTAATCAGACCGATCACGGGGATTGTAGTCGGGGCATGGAAGGAATCTGATGAGGAGTGCTTTCTCTTTCAGAATTCCTTTTTGGTTTTATTTTATTTTACAGAATAGGAACTGTGTATAATGTGAGATATCTACATTATTGGTGCTTAGGCAGTACTATTAGTTTGTAGGTTCTTTGGTGAGCCACGCTAACTGTCTTTAGCACTGAGTGTACTCGGGTCTCCTCTCGTTTTAGAGAGTTGTTAGGCTGAGATCTCCACTCTTAAGAGCTCCTAAACTAGGATTTAGTGTTGTTAGGCTTCCTCTCGTTTAAGAGTCATTCTGCTGAAGCCTTCGCTCTCCAGAGCTCCGCTTAGGCAGTACCATTACTTTGTAGGTTCTTATGTGAGCCTCGCTAACTGTCTCTAGCGCCGAGTATAGTCAGGTCTCGTCTCGTTTTAGAGGGTTGTCATGCTGAGATCTCCACTCTTAGGAGCTTCTCTACTAGGGCTGAGTGTTGTTAGGCTTCCTCTCGTTTAAGAGAGTCGTCTTGCTGAAGCCTCCGCTCTTCAGAGCTCCGTCTTTGGCAGTAATAAGAGTTAGTAGGCTCTTTCTTTTTGAGCCTCACTAACTGCCTCTTGCGTTGAGTGTAGCTAGGTCTCCTCTCGCTTTAGGGTGTCGTTATGCTGAGACCTCCACTCTTAAGAGTTCCCCTACCAGGATCAATTGTCGTTAGGCTTCCTCTCGTTTTGTCGTTTTTTCATTCATGCTTCAGACACCGGTCACACTGAAGGCGTTCCCCTTAGCCCTCTAGAGGACGCAGTATCTCGTTCCCTGTTCTCAGGGAACCATGGTTACATGAGACGTTTGTAACCAGTCCTGAGACGTTTTCCTTGGCCTCAGTCTTAACAATATGGTTGGCTAGTCACTACCACATGTTCATAGCAAACATATGGTATATCTTCATTATCTAGCCTGTTTTCCTCACCTATATTTACAAGGAAATATGTACAGGTGAGCTGGCTTTCAGTTCAGCCAGACATATTACCAGTTTAGCAGTCATGGCCTAATAATTTTAGTTCTAGTTTCCTTCCTTCACATAATTCTCTATTGAAACATTTGTCTTTACTAGTTGTTCTATTGCTCATGAGCTGCTCTAAAAAGATTGGGGATCTCCACATAATCTTGGATCCATGGCCAATAACATTAACATCATGTAACCGCAGTCTCTGGGTATGACAGCATTTGTGATTTGACAAGTTTGGAATTTTAAAACTTATTATTTAAATTCAGCCCTAAAACATTATCTATTTACCAAGATGGAGTGACCAGTATCATTGCTTTGCCATCCATATTTTGTACTTGGACACTTTGTGCCCCTCTATTCTGAATTTTTGGAAACCTGGAACATCTTTGTTTATCAGATTTATAAGAAGCTGATGCAGTTATCTTCCTCTCTGCCTCTCATGGCAGATTTTTCATGCCTGCATTGTTTCTCAGTCTTTCTCCATTCTAGCCCCTCCCAGAAGTGTCAGATTCCTCTTACAGGGGGTGTAGCCGATCAGCCTATCAGCTTTTCCTGTTCTCCACAGCCATAATGTCTCTTTCTTCATGTTGTATCGCCCATTGGCAGCTGTCCCAGAAGATTTCTGTTTTTTTTCTATGAAATGAACACTCAACAATACTGCATTGTAAATTTTGACCACAACTGCATATAAGCGATCTGTGCTATGGTCAGTCATCTTGTGGAACTGTCCGAAATTTAAGGAATCTCATCCAGTTAACAATATATAGCAGTTCTTTATTTTATTTTAATAAGCAAGTTCTTTGCTGAAAAAGAGCAAGCAATTCCTTCTTTGCAGAATGCAGAAAAGAACAGTAGCCTATGCTGATTGATCTGAACATATCATACTTCTATAATCCTTATAAATACATCAGCATGATGCATTGTATTATAACTTCAGACTGAAATCTTGTAAATAGTCTACCACATGTTACAACCAAAGTCGAGAAAAAATAATTTTCCTCTTTTTTTTCTTTTTTATTATTAGCTGAATACGGCCGTTTAAAATAGTCACTCAATCTTGTTCTCATTGATCACAATGCACAAGTTATTTTAGTTAACACAAACTAATGTCTCAATCTCCGCAATATATCACATTTCAGGCTGTCCCCCAGGGACAACGGACCCAAACTCCATACTTGTAAAGATAAGATGTAATGCAAGCTATCTCTTTGAAAACATCTATTTAACATTATATTATTTATTGATTCATCAATATAATTCTCTTGTGGCTCCCACTTTTCATATAAAGTTGCCTTTAACATTTCAGAGATAATACATAACTCAAATGTCCTAAAAAAAATCAGACAAATCATCTAAATACAGTTGTACATTTCTGCTCTATACATTGTCATCCATCTAATCAACAGTACTGTCCTAATTTTGTCTTTGTTGGTGACTGACAATGCTTTTTAAAATAGCAGTGCATTGATCTAACACAGTTGAGAGAGAACAAAGCAAGAGTAGATTTTTTTTTTTAAACTTCACTAAATCCACGTGAACTGAGAATGGCAAATAGCCATTAGTTGAATGTGTACTAAACAATTTGCTGAAACATACTACTCTGCTGTTTCACCCATCCTGTCCAGGTCAAGTCTGTCATAGACAGTTAGAAGAATTGTGATTTAGCAATTTATTTGTTTTAGTGCCTTGCAAGGACTTCACAATACCAACTCTCAAGTAATTTAAAAATCATTCAATCTTGGAAGGACTGAGAATATGTCAATGTGAGAACAGGTAACAAAGATAGCTTTTCACGAAGCGTCCATTCGCTTTTTACGAATGAGTAATGAAAAGAGTATCTTTTGCAAAACATCTATTCTCCTTCCCACATATAAATCGTGAGGATAACCTGCAGATTAACAGTCGGTCGCGACCCGATACTGTTCTTCCCATATATCTTACACAGTACGAGGATAACCCACAATATGGCAGAGTCCAAATTCACGGCACGAAAATATGATTAATTTCTTAGCAGACAGTAAGAATAATTCATTAAAGATTATTTCTCAACTGTCTGTAGAAATTCACTCGATGCCGTCTGACTATTCTCAGTCCTTGCATGGGACCATGGAAAGAATCATGAACATGAAGCCAATTGTCTGTTCACAAACTTCTTCAAAGTGTATTATTACTTCAACAGATTATATAGTCACCATCGTAAGGGGTGGTGCAGTGATTCATCCAATGAGATATGTGGTACACAAGCCAAGAAATATTCGTTATATAAAATGGAAGTCTGGCCAGGAAGTTCTGGACATATTAGGCGTACACTTGGCCAAGGATACCTTTTCTCAACTGAACTATACAGTTCGGTCAGTCCAAACTCAATAACCTTCGGCCTATAGCCCCCGTCCTCATCTGGACATTTGAACTCTTGAGGAAATATACATGTGTAGAAAAGACAAAAGAGGGGAAGAAAGAACCCTGAAGGGAGGAGGGAGCACAGAGAGGCAAACTCACAGAAATGTTTGGCAGAGAGTGTAATATAATCTAACACCCATCATAACAGAATAGAAAAAGTGTGTGAGAGAGAGAGAGAGAGAGAGAGGGGCGGTAAAATCATGAATTGATATTGACAGAATTCATTTCCTCTGTCAGTCCCAGTCGCTGCATTCAACAGGAAAAACAATGCGAGTCTCTAGAACTGGAGTATATTCCATATTAACCCACATCAGTGAAATAACGTTGTGCGGAATACGGTTTTTGTCGGAACACAAGTATATGAATGAGGAGTTGATCCAGATATGGTTAAATGTTTGAGAAGCCTTGCTTTCTCTATTACAGAGAATGTTGTGGTGAAAATCTTAACCTTAAACCCGCATTGCAACTGAGCTTTGGAACCGAGAAACTTAGTGAGACCTCCATTGCAATAGCTCCCTCAATTAATCGTTGAGTTTAATGACTATATCGCGTTATGATTCGCCTCACATGCAGGAGCGTATTTTCTTTGAGGGCTGACCAGGATGAGTAATACGACATCGATCGTGCGTTGAGTCATTTGACAAATCCATATTTGATTCTGGGTGGAGAGAGAAAGAGAGAGAGAGAGAGAGAGAGAGAGGAGGAGACAAGCGGGCTGTCTTCTTGTCTCTTGTGAGGATTTTCGCAAGACCAAAAAGACGTATCACCGCCTAAGCTTGCTTTCTTTCTCTCAAACGTAACCTGCTCCGAGAAAAAAAAAAAAAAGCCTCAGCTTAGTCCGCGATGGGAGGATGTTACGGATATCTCACCTGACTGACATCGATTCTCTGCAACATTTTTCTCTGACTGTTACACGCGACGCGTCATTCTGAACGAAAACTTTTTTGCCGCCTTACATTTTTTAAACATAAAATCCGTTAAAACTCAGTCGCGATGGTTTTGCAGTGGCGTTATGACATCAGTGTGGATCGGACACGTTTTAGTCGAATATCGCTGCACTTTAATGCGTTTTGCGTGTGTTTGATTTAAGGACAAATCATAGAAAGGTACTGTACGCATTTTACTTGGTTCTTCTGTCTGTTTTCTTTATTTAAAGAAATAATGCAGAATATCTAAGCAACAAGCGGCGCCATACGATGCGCACTTTCCCAAGGGATAACGCATCATTATTGCGCGGTGTTTTTGGAGAAAACCTCAACGTATTCCCGCATCAACCTTACTTTGGAAGGGTCTATGGCCGTTATTGAGATCGAATCTGTTTTTGTTCACCTATAAATACTGTGAAAGGTGTCTTTTTCTGTTTCCCAACGATAAGGAGACATGGCTTGCTTTCCATGGCGGGTATTTTGGATAATTCAAGCGCTTGTGGATGTGACACTTTCGCAGGAAATCTACGCTCCTCATTCCATCAGAATTGAGGGGGATTTGACCCTGGGTGGCCTTTTCCCGGTCCATGCCCGCGGGGTCTCCGGGGAACCGTGTGGAGATATCAAGAAGGAGAACGGGATACACCGGCTGGAGGCGATGCTTTATGCATTGGACCAAATCAACAGTGACGACGAGCTTTTGCCCAACATCACTTTAGGCGCTCGGGTTTTAGACACATGTTCGCGAGACACGTACGCGTTGGAGCAGTCGCTTACTTTCGTGCAGGCTCTCATACAGAAAGACACGTCGGATGTGAGGTGTACGAACGGAGAGCCCCCGGTGTTCGTCAAACCCGAAAAGGTGGTCGGAGTCATAGGGGCTTCGGCGAGTTCAGTGTCCATCATGGTCGCAAATATACTGCGACTGTTCCAGGTGAGTCTGAGCCCAAGTGTCCAACGGTAGCCCATCACATGTGCTGGAATCAGTCCCTGCGTCAAGGTTTCACCCCGTATGATTACATGGCAGCTGATTTATGAGAACGCATAATCCCTTGAAACGCCACATAAAACAGCACCGCATAATAACGGTTGTTTATGTATTGAAAAGCATGTTATGTTTTTTTTGCAATCAATAGTGTAACCTAAACAGGTTGTTAGTCATAATCAATGAATCGATCAAGCATCGACTCCTCACACCTGCAGAGTGGCTTTTCAACAGGGTTAATTTCTTTGTCTCTCTATCTATGTTCAATTTCAAAGTTCTTCATTGATATGATTGCTTGATGCATCTATTCTATTCTATTCTATTCTATTCTATTCTATAATATTAAATGATAGTACATGTAAGTAAATTGTATATATATATATATATATATATATATATATATATATATCGTCTTTGCATCATAATATTACACTTTTTTCATTAATTCCATACAACAACAACAATAATTAAAATAAAATAAAATAAAATGGCAAAAAAGTACAATATTATCATTTTTCTCTCTATTTCTCTCTGTTCTTCCCTCCTGCTGTTGCTCCAAACAGGCTTGATGTTAAAACGTTACAATCAAGTGGATAGGCTTGATCATTCAAATTAATTTGTGAATTAAGATTCAGCTTTCTAGAGGCAGAAGCTGCTAGGCTCTGCATTGGGTTATCCACCTAGCTAGTTCATGTCTGCATTGTAATAAATAGTTAATTTTGTTCTCTCTGTTCCCACAACGTTGGGAAATTACAGTTAGTTTATCTCCAAAGCATGTGTTTTGGCAGATGCAAAGTGAGCTGAGAGAATGTGTAAAATATCTGAAAACAAATGATTTGGAATGTACAATAAGCCACGCATGAGAGTATGCACAAACCCCAGTATAATTAATCAGAATCAATCCTTGTAGGGTGTAAATAGTTGCAGTAACCAAAAACGTAAATGCATCCAAATATGGCATATGAAAAGATAATTGTATCCCGCCCCTTGGTTCTGAAGTGTGCGATTACTGATACAGCAATTAAAATAGTAACAGTCTATACAGTTGCCTGTAATGATGTGAGAGGATTATTCAGCCTTATCTATGGTCTGCATCGGAGATAAACACGGCTAATGACATCCCACCGGTCTACTAGGATGATTCCAACCTCATTCTTCTCCGGATTTTTTTGCTCCGTTTACCAAGGTTTTCATTTGGTTTTACATACAAGCGAGCAGGTAGTTTACGATCTCTGATCTCAAATTTGTCTGGTGAAACTTAAAGAAATGTTCCAGGTTCAGTACAAGGTCTATTTGTGGCATATCATCAATTACCACAGAAGATAATTTTGATAATCTTGGTTACTGTAAGGCACTTACAATAGAAGCAAATGGGTCAACACTAAAGATTTTACATCCTGTCATGACAAAAGCCAATAAACCCTTAAAATATTTGCAATTAAAACATGAAAATGGCATATTACGTAATTAACCTAATGTAATTCAATAATTAACTAAAAATTAAACCATACAGAATTGTAGTCACACTGCTACATAAAAAAAGGTGTAGAAACAGCTTTCACTCAGAAATAGTCAGTATTTTTTTATTAATTACAATGAAATGGCAAGAAAAACGTTGAATTAATCATGATATTTTGAAGTGGAAAGACTGAAATAATATTTTCTTTGGCAATCTTTTATTTACAACTTTGAAAAATCTTTTTACAGTGTAAAATACAATTTATTAAACATTAATACAAGAAACAAGTGCCTAGAATTCCATTGTAGCAACCACACATGTTATTATAACTATGATTTTTTTTAGTCATTCTTTAGTAAACAACATTTGCATTACAAATTCTGCCAGAATTTTCCCAAATTAATTACTGCTCAAATTGTGCATTGGTGTCAGATGTCTTAACATTATCTATTTACGACCAATATATATTTTTAATCTCTTTTGCATGATCTTTACAGTATTTAAAGGCCTAAACTGTTTAATGAAATGGAAAAGTGCGACATTGTCAAACATCTGTTGAGAACTTTATTGTGAGTTTACATTAAATATTCACAACCATATTCAGTTTTGACAAAACAAACTGCTCTGTGCACTACAATATGTAGACATAGATTAAATAGTTGATCATGTGTTGTTGAATTAATAATTTTACAGTAAGAGACATGAGCTGCAAGCACAAGCATGTGAGACTGCAATATTTATGTCACTTTTCTCCAGCTTTTCACCACACAGCTAATGGCTAGAGCGGTTTCAGCAGACCTCGCAGATCTCTTCTAAGAGCTTGACTTTTTGCCCTACATGGACTATTTAGAAAATATTTATGAAAATACACCCATACACATGGGATGTAATGCCAGTCAGCCTGTGTCACAGACCCTCGGTCGTGAGCATTAAGAAACATATTTAAAGCCAATGTTGTGGCCCGCTAGCCACCTGCATCCTTTCAGAAAACTTTGCTTATTTCCCTATGGCCTCACACTTGCTCTGAATCTCTGACTGTTTTTATATGCTCCAGGGCTGGGATTTCACAAAGCATCCCCGACGGCCACAAGCTCTTTCTGAACGCGATGAGAGCTGTGGTGATGAGAGTTGATGTGAGGAGGGCAGTGCTCTCTGACACAATTCATGAGGCGTACAAGCATTTTTTACATTCTCCATCTCAACACATTTTGACTCGAAACGCTTGTGACACCACAGGCCCCAAATTTCATTCGGTTGTAGGGGAGCTCGTTATATGTCATTACTTTAGCATTTTACTGTTTGTTTTTTAGCGGGAAAGTGAGGGGAAGTACAAAGCAGGGCATGGCTTGCAATTGTACCTCAAGTCAAAGGTGTCTGGGTTTGGAGTCAACATCAAATTAATATCGACGCTATTTAATTTTCATAATAAACATTACTGGTCTTATTGTGTGAAAGCCTGCCACACCTCAGAGTAAAAAAAAAATTATTAGTAATTGTGAGATAATATAACTGCATAATGACATCTTCAAACTTTGAATATGAAGCATCTTATGTCAAATTATAAGATAAAAATTTTCACGCAGAGATTTAATCTTACATTGTAAGATATAAAGTTGAATTATGAGATAAAAAGTCAGATTTACAAAACTGCAGTTGTGAGATAAAGTCACATTGTTAGTGTTATTGTGAGATATAAAGTCAAAAATTGTGCAATGGGATCTTTTAACTTTGAACGTGGCATCTTAGCATCACATTTTGAGATAAAAAATTCTCTCTGACATTTAAATTCAAATTGTGAGATATGTTAAAAGTTTGAGATACTGTATAAAGTAAAAAAAAAATTAATCTTCCGTCAAATTATGAGATAAAAATTCCCAAGATTTAAAATGAAATTGTGAGATATAAAGTTGAATTTACAAGAAACAAAACTGCTATTGCGAGATAAATTGTTAGGTATAAAGTTACATTGTGAGATACGGTTGGAAATTGCTTAATGTAAAGTAGGGCTGTCAAAATGGCTGAAAAACTAAATTGGAATTTTGTACTTAAATATTATCAATATTCGAATTATATTCAAATTTAAAAGGCATAAATATGATCAAAATTCTAATTATATTCAAATTTAAAATGCATAATTTCAGTTAGGGTGAAGAAAAGCATTTGGCTTCTCTTCTGAGGCCACAAAAGGGCGCATCGAGCAAAATATTACTAATACACATTTATTCAGTAAGATGACATCTGTGAAAAAAATGCATAATGTTTAAAACAATGTTTATAAACCGTATATAATTAATTAAGTTGCTTAAACAACTATAAACAAAACAGCAAATAGTAATAATACAAATCAAATGATAGTAGTTTATCAGTAATCCTAAAAAAGAACACTGCCAAACTTACATGCTAAAAAACAACAACTTACTTACACATAGTAAGAAAT